TGGTCCTAGCTTTCACTCGCTACCAAGCTATGATCTACTACGCAGCTAGCCGTGCATTACCCAGCGTTTTGAGATTGCTTTGCATTTCATGGTGTTTCACAGCATGCTTTTCACCTGCCCCTTTAATAGCTTACATTCTTCATTTGGGATTCCACTTTTACGTTCCAGGCATTCTTGGTTTAGTCCTAGCATGTCCTAGTTTTCACTCACGATTGAGCTATGAGGCTACGTTGTACTACTCAGCCGTGCTGTATCCAGCGTTCTGAGATTGCCTTCCATTTCCTGGTATTTCACAAAATATCTTTCACCTACCGCTTTCATAGCTTACATTTTTTGTTTGGGTTTCAGCTTTTACATTGTAATTCCAAGCATTCTAGATCTTTGGGCTCTGTGACATTCTGTAGCCTTCCCAGGAGAAGCACACGTGGCTCTCACTGTCGACAAGAATGTCTTTGTTCTTTGAACTCACGGACGAGATCGAGAAGAGCAAAAAGACGCACCACCACAGCAAGGGGGTCTTCGTAGTGGTCACTGGTTGTGACAAAATCCTCAATTTGATGCGACGCGGCGCGGTATCTCATGCATGCTTTGCCAGGTGGGTCACCACTAGCTGCAAAGACCGCTTATAAATTATAAAATAGAAATAAAATTGATTAATATTGAATCCCCCCTTAGTTACATTTTTCATTGCCCCCCCCCTGCAATAATTAAGTAGACATCCGAAGTTTCAAAATGTAAGTTACCCACGTGGGAGGTCCCAATGTTACATTTACTAGTGCACTACACCAACTCCAGGGTGACGCAGGAGGCGATGGACACGGGCACGTATGATGCGACGAGGCCTCCAATGGTGGTTACAAGTGAGGGCATGAGGGTGTTACGACCTGAAGAGGTGGACATGGAAACCCAAACCGTCCGCCTCATCTCAAATGAACAGCCACGACACGCATCTGTCGCGAAATTCACGGGATGCAAGCGATGCTCTGCGTGATGACCGGTCACTGCCATTCAATCCCAGTGCGCTTGTGCTCTTTCAACGCTTGAAAGCATCACGCATGGAACGCGTGAGACGATGTGAAAAACAACAAGAATAAAAAACGGGTGTACTAGTAGCAAGAAGCTGCCAATAACAAGGGCCTCGGCATCGGTATTCGTAATTGCGGTTCTTGAAACAGGACGCACGAAAACGATAAGTGTACACTAGATGCACTAGACCACAGGCTAGAACGCCTACGTGTTTGGCTCAAGTGAAAAGAACCGCTTTCAGTGAAGCATGGGTTATGAGCCCAAGCGGTTCGCGGCGTCATGACATCCATGTTGAGCCGGCGACGATCCGCATCCAAGGAAAGGCAGCAGACAGCCGATGAAAGGCTGGATGAGTTGCTGGCGCAACAAACGCCAGCGAGACGCACTCAGAGCGCCGAACCAAGCGCTCGGAGGCCGGCTTTGGTGAAGAGCACGCGCCAAGCTCCAGCCGCAGGGGCACCAAGATGGGCAAGGACAGAGCCTCGAACCACAGGGATGGAGGCGGCGCATCCAAATGAGGCTGCCGGCTGTCTTCCGAGGTGGTCGAGAATGGCCTGGAGGCGAACATGGGCAGCCGGAAGAGGTGCACTACACCAACTCCAGGGTGACGCAAGAGGCGATGGACGCGGGCACGTATGATGCGACGAGGCCTCCAATGGTGGTTACAAGTGAGGGCATGAGGGTGTTACGCCCTGAAGAGGTGGACATGGAAACCCAAACCATCCGCCTCATCCCAAATGAACGTTTGGTGAAGTCACCGCCAGCGAAGGCTCCTCCACAACCACCAGTGAAACAACCTCCTGTACCTGCTCAACGGCGTGGTTATGGGGGGGGCTACATCGAGTTCATCTTCACGGCCAAATGCAGCTGCTGAACGGGGCCACGCTCCAAGGCCGGAACTACTCTTCAAGGAGTTTCCAAGTCCGCGACCGCAGCGAGGAGTTCGAGCTCTATGGGACCTCCTACGTTGGAGCGGATGCAGCAGCCGGCCAATGACCGGCCATGGCACCGGCCGGGAAAGGCTCCGCCTGCTCAACTGCGGGGGGCTCATGGATGATTAGTTGGAGTTCCAGGATTCGGTGTTCTGGACGCCACAGATCCTGGACGCTGTTCAGGATTTGATAGAGGAGGAAGCGCTGTTCTACAAACCAGCGCTCAAGCGCGACAGGTGGGACTACCTGTCGATGGATGACTGCCGGTGGCTCGTCCGCCACCATGGAGGCGCGAGGGTGCAGAGGTTCCATCCGGAACATCGCAGCTGCCCCGAAGAATTCGAGAACTTGGAGTTCATGAGGGTTACCGTCGCTTGGGAGGGCGCGGAATGGAATCGGCGGGTGGCCATCGACAGCGACTGGCGCCGGGCTGAGTTGTCTGGTCCAGGCAGCTGGGTTGGTTTTTCCCTTTTCCTCGCGCGAACAGGGCCGAGGAACATGTGAACCTCCAACGACCGACGCCGGTCGGGGGGAGTGCGGTTCTTGAAACAGGACGCACGAAAACGAGAAGTGTGCACTAGGTGCACTAGACCACAGGCTGAAACGCCTACGTGTTTGGCTCAAGTGAAAAGAACCGCTTTCAGTGAAGCATGGTAACAAATAACACGCGCATTGCTACTAGTAGCTAGAAACTACACCAAAGGATGAGTGTTGCCCGACGCCCAGTCCCATTGAATTCATGCAAGGTTCGAAGGAAGCTGGTCCTCAGATCCTGGGGCCACGGGGCATCGAGAAAACACGGCAGTTCCAAGAATTTGTAGACAGGTGGGGAACAACCCTAGCCTAGCATAGCCTAGCTACAGTTTTCCAAAGGTGTTCAAACATGTTTCAAACATCTACAGTGCAAAGAAGCACAACTCTGTCAAGTTTTGCAGCGCAATCTTGTCTGCACGCTAGTAAGGGGTGGGTTGATATTGATAAGGTTGACACCATCTTATCATTGACTCATTGAGGCCTGTCAATAATGCCTTAGATTTGGTGCAGCATGCTTGCAAAAAGTGAGATGTCGGGTTCCCTCAATTCACCGACAGTTGGACCAAGAACATTTAAAGAATAAACATCAATAAATTTTTGAAGAACATGGAGCTCCGAAACGGGTAATTACGGACTAAGCGGCTACTAAGCGTTCCCATTTGGGAACTCCAGTTTCTTCAAATTATCTTGGATATATGTTACTGTATGTTTCTTCCTGGTTGAGTTTTCTTTGACATGCAAACTCTTTGGCGCCGATGGAATCTTGTATGAAGATTTGAGGTGAAGGCTAGATCTTTATTGACCAATGATGTGTTGTTCAAAGTGTCAAGTTTGCTTGCGATCTGATTGTTTCGCTCAAACTGTAACAGGACACGTACATGTAACATATATATACAGTAAATATACTATATATATATATATTATACGTACGTTGCTTCACTGCCTTACACATATAAGCCCTTAGCGCATTCAAACAATGCAAACGCTGTTTGAGCAGGGTGAAGGGCTGCCCCAGTTTTCCCAATATTTGCGGCAGCTGACAGTCCCGAATTGGGCTGGTGTTTCATGTGTAAACTGTGCCTTGTTCATTGATGAACTGTCGAATTGTCTGACGACGAACAACGCAGGAATCTGCTGGCAGTACAAATATGGCACTTCCAGTGTTTTAAAGCGCAACTTTCGCACTCAATCAAATGTTGAAACCACCGAAGCCTTCACATTGATGGTCCTTTAAGATGGGTTGGCAAATGCACATCTTGCCGCCGTACAACCAGAGCCTGATACTGCAGCAGTTTCGATTGTATTGCGCTTATATATATATATACAATTATATACAAATGTCAGACTGGCAGGATGTGGCAGGTCGATGGCCTCCGCACCCCCGACCCCAACATGAACATGGAACTAAACTGTCGCAAACCTCCGTCTACGTCGCTTTGGACCCTTGTCCGAACCATCCTTAAATTCCAAACAGTTTACTCGACGTATATAATGATTTTTTGTTCATCTCTATCGTGATTTGCATTGATGGGGATCCTCAGCTGTTGTCAAGTGTTCGTATGCTGGACACGATTGATCCCTCTTTATAAGTCCGAGTGCCCACACTCACTCCGAATGGCAGGATCCCCGTCTTGAGCCACTATCTTGACATCCTCAAACGACTTTTTGCCCATTGAGTTGCTCTCCACACACACACACTTAGATTCATAGATTCATAGCCAGCTCAAATGAATGAGCGTAAGTTTCAGTGTGTGATTCACTGCTGCACCAGGACAGCCGCTGCCCTTGACTCGCAAACCGCAAGGCGATCAATCAGCGCGACAGAAAGGTTGAAACAACCTGGAAAAGCACCTGAGAAACAGCCTGGACAAAGGGGAACCATTGGAGTCGTTGTGTTCACGAGCAGGCGTCAGCTGCAAAAAGCTTCGTTGGCGACAGCTAGGCAGTGACCGTGTCGCTGTCGCCCCCTGCTTAGTGAAAACTCATATCGACAAAATCTGTGTCGAAGAATCTCTTGGAAACAGGTGTGCACACACACACACACTTTGCAAGACTGCTGGGTCGGCTGAGTTGGAGATGTTTCAACAATGTTTCAAGCTGGCTGCAGCGAGACATCAGCAACAAGCGGCGCAGCTGCACAAACGGCTGGAAAGAACTTGGGGCGTTGTCACGAAGCAGGTACATGAGACTGGCCAAGTCCCATACCCTCGATATCACCCAGCTTCGTTGGTCAAGGTTGGTGATATCGCGCCTTGACCCCTGCTCAGAAAGACCCTTGGATACAGGGTGGGACACACTTAGTCACAGGTTCATCCAGTATCATAGTCCACAGTGAAAGGGCCGAGGGAACGGCACGGTGAAGGAGTCAGCGCACTTGGAATGTTTAACAATTGGTTCACTTGTCTGCAGAAAGCAGAGGTGGCTCAGCAGCAACTCTGCGGGGGGGAGGTTTAGGGGAATAGCATAAAAACCACCATGAAAACAACAAAACCGTGAAGGGAGGAGAACCATTGGAGTCGGTGTGTTTGCGCAGGTACGTTTACAGCGCTCACCAGTGGCCACTTCGGTGGTCATCCACCACTGGTGAGAGGGATGGCCCCCTGCACATGAACAGCCCTTAGAAACAGGGTTTGACACACACACACACACACGCAAAAGCGCTGACAAACACACAGCCCTCCACAACCTCATGAATTTGCAGTGTTGGGGACAGGTTTCAGTGTGAAGTTCTATGTGGGTCAATGCTTGATCTAATGCCTTTGGTTGAGGTGCACTATGTTATCAAGTCAGAATAGGGGAAACAAAAAAACAAAACAAAAAGCAAACAGGAAGCAGTTAGAAACAGCTGTTGAGAGTGTTGAGAGGAGGAGAACGGAAGCTAGTTTTTGTGGACTCGTGCCCCTCGTGAAACTCATGCTTCCCAAAGTTCCAACATTCATTGCCTTAGATCTTGAAAGGTATCTTGTCCAATGTCATTGCTTATCGCGTTGGCAATCTGTGCAACTGACTCAACTTGTGCAGGAGGAGTGCTGGTGTAAAGTCCTTCACGCTCCTGAGTGCGGAGAAGGGCCTTGCTCAAGCCTCCAGTCAGCAGTTATTTACCAAAATGAATGACTGAAAAGAAACGCGCCGCAAATGAATGAACCAAAACTGCAGCTTGTCCATCTGGCCTTCTTGTGGCAACACCTGGCTGTTGCTGCCTTGGGGGTTGGCAACTAAGAAATGTCCAGGCGCAACGCACAGCTGTTTACGCTGCCAAGGCTCCAAGGAGGATGCTCCTCCAGAACCTCCGCAAAGAAAAATGCTGTGGTGGATGAAGTGCGTCAGGATCAATGCTAAACCTTATGGTGCCTGAGCTGGCTATAGCATGGAATATAATCCATATTTATACATCAAATCAGTGAATTGAGCCGTGGCTTGTACGCGTGTGGCAATACCTGCATTTAACTGTATCTAAATCGAAGACTGTAGATCATTCAATGCTGCACCACTCAAGGGTGCTTCAGGGGACTTCAGCATGCAAACAAATTGTAGACAAACTACCAGCACCATTCAGAAATCAAGACACTCCTTGCTCCATTGACTCTGGGAACTTCGTCCAAGTCCTCGCCAACCTCGGTATCAGGAATGACTGACATAAATGGCTAACTGATAAACCAGCTTCTTGGCCATTTTGCAGCTGGTTCCGTTTTGCAAACTGCCACAGCGCCGGTTGTTGCCTTCCCACCCTCTCCCCCGTTGTTGCTTCTCAGCTCAGTGTTGCTGGAAGAGGAGTCAAGCTTGTTGCATGCAGCTGCTTGTGCACTTGTGTTCGCAACAGTTCTTTGTTCTGGCATTGTGAAAAGGCTTGTCTGTTGCTAGTTTCAATCCTTGATTCATTGTGTTTCAAAACCCTGTTGCCCAACCACTGACTCACGAAGACCTCTCAAATCCAACCAGAAAAAAGGTTAGCAACAAATGCTGCAACTATCACAACCCAAACCTGCAGTGTAGACCATTGGCCCTGGCCTGCTTCAAGTAAATCTGCAGTTCCTCAATCTGTACTGGCAGGCAGGGCCGGGCAGCATCTCGAAACCAAAGCAAACCTGAGTTGGCCGTCTTTTTTGGGGAGAACTGTCCAACTCCTATTGCGATTGTGTGTTTGAGTTTGTGAAGAGACTATCCTGTTTCATCATGGCATTTGAGCTGGCTGTTGGCTCTCCCACTTGCAATTGGGAGCACTGTTCACTGCAATCTTGGTCTGATCAAATATGAATCTCAAAAAAAACACTTTATCACTATCAACTATCAACGTGGCGCTGATCTGCAGAATCGGCGTTTGGGCATTCAAGTTTGGTATCTCATGTATCTCTAAGACTGAAGCATTTGCCAAACATGCAGCAGAGTCGTTCATAGCACTCGAGAGTCTTTCATGAACCAATGACGATGCAGACAAGCTGCAACTTTGACCTTCAACTCCTTTCAAAGAAGCCCGGAACCTCAAAGTCAGAATGTAAGTCTTGGCCTGCTGCAAATGTGTTTCTGTTTTTGCTTGTGTGAAATCATGCAGGAAAAAAGGAGTTCCCTCATTGAGCCTCATTGTTGATTGATACAGTCACTGTCACTGGTCAAGGAAGTAAGAGGATGCTCCACAATGCTCAAGCAAACTGTCTCAAGGGTGAGTAATTAGATTGGGAGTGCAAAGTCCAACCTCCAATGAAAGAGTGGAGCAAAGACTGCTGGAATGGAGCAGTGCACTGCATCCCAATGAAGATATGCACTTTGCAGCTGCAGGTCTTATTGTCTTTAATTAAGGATCAACAGCCAACAGCTGCTGATGAATTAGGTAGTGGGAAGCCACACATCATAAATCCGAAGTCAAACAAATGCCAACTAAAAGCTAGCAAAAAGGAAATGGAAACTGAGCACAAACCTTAGTTTACTCCACACATCTCGCCTTTTTGCAGTTTGTAGCGAAAAACATGCATAGACATTCAAGAATCAGCCTAAAATTGCCACAAAGGCTTATGACCTAACTTCTCTGGGCTGAACCCGTCTGCTAGCTGACTCCACCGGAAGGGCTAGCAAGCAGCTGTTTGGCAAGGATGAAATGCGTCTCCTTGTAATCAGACGTCAGAATTCCTGAGCAAGACAAGTTGGTACGGCTTCACTGTGTTCAAAGTCAGAGCCGAAGGCTTGCAAACTGACGATTCACTCCAGTTCACTTAGGAACTCAGTCCTAGATGCTGGCTAACTGTTATGGGTCAGGAAAGTCAAGTGGCAAGTTCAAGGATCATGAAGTATATGGGGAATATGTTTAAACTCACCAAGGACATCGCAGTCTAGTCTATTCTGTTCGAATATTCTAATTAATCATGCCATTCTGAGAACCCTCGCAGGATCCATGCTTACTAATGCAAATAAGTGTCGAATTCGAGAAGCCCAGGATTCTGAGTTTCCTCCCAACGGGCAAGTCAACACAACCTCGTTGCCAGCTGTCCCGCCATGAAACATAATATGGCCGCTAAACAACTGAGCATGAACATCTTAAACAATTGCAGACACAATCACATACATGCACGCATTGAGTCTGTACAACTTGCAATCAGGCCGTGGTCACCGCGGGCAAGCGAATTATATAATCTAAGTGCCTCACATTGCCGTCATCATCGGCCATGAAGTCTGTTTGGCACATGGCGTCCGGTTCGAACGTTAAGATCTCAGCCTGTGCCGGACAGTTGGCAAAACAGTCTTTACAATGGATTGACGAGCTGGCCTCGCTTGAATTTGAAGCGCAAAAGAACCTTGGTGAAGTGGAGGCAATGAAAGCAACCTTACAACTCTCCTAGAGACTGGAATAAACATGTACTGTAAGTATATACATATAACTACAAGAGAATAACCCGCCCTCGCAATCTTGTAAAGTGTTGCAGTCATCCAGCCGGATGGCTCCATGCTTTGAATATCCTGCAACGGTAAGTCCTGCAAATACCATCAAAGCATGATAACCAGGAAAGCTCAGAAGAAGGTCCAAGTCTTTCGATTGAAGCTCTGGCCTGCTCTATCTCTTGAGTGCTGCGAAAGAAAAAGCACAAAGCAACCTCACAGGCACTTGGGCAAGAGACAGAAGTCAAGTTACTTTACTTCAAGTGATCCCCACTGCCCACCATGACATTTCAATTATTTGTTTCCACGCAAAGTGAGGAGCATGTTGCCATGGTCGTGGGCTTTGTGGTTTTGGATTATGCTTGTGGGTCCTCTGGTCGTTATTGTGTGTTTGTGATTGTGTGTTTGCGGTTGTGTTTGTGGTTGTGTGTTTGTGCTCGGGGAACGCTGCCAAGCGGAACTCGCGGTTGAGGTCCGGGGAACACTGCCATCCTGCACTTGCGGTTGAGGTCCGGAGGAGGAGGCGGAGGAGGAGGCGGACGAGGCGGAGGCGGACAAGGCGAAGGCGGACAAGGCGGAGGAAGGCAGCTGACATAAAATCTAACAACCCTCACCTGACAGGTGGGGAAAAATGTGTTATTTATGTATTTATGTATATACAAGACTGAAAACATCTGAAAACAACACTGAACAATGATTCCACAGATCAAGGAAGCAATGAGCAAGTGCATGCTGCTTGCACATTGCAAGGGCTTGCAAAGTGTACAATCCCACATTGTGCTGAGCATGCTGCAACTACTGAGGTCATACCAGTTCCGAAGAGCATGACATTTTGTACAAGGCCAACATCCTGAATAGATGCCACTCATGTGGGCCGGAGAATCTTGATGTCAACTGTGATCATGAAAGAACTGCAAACCCTTCAGGCTCCAACCCAGTGATTGCCATAGGAAAGGAAGATCGCCTTAAATGAAACAACATACAATGAATGTTTTTGCATAAAGGACCAATGGGTCTCGGCATCTATATATGAACGCCGAACCTGTTGGAGGTTTCCTCTATCAAACTGTTCCTATAAAAAGAATAGCAACAAGTGGATACAAGCGGATGAGTCACGGCGGAAAAAAGTGGTCCAAGGGAAGTTGTGACCTTGTTCGTAATTTGGCGTGCGCCATTGATATCTTCCTTAGATGACTGACGGAACATGGTGAAACATAACACACATCAAGTACCTGGGTCTGTTTGTCCAATAGCCAAGCGACTCTTTTACTTCTGAAGATGGACCGAGCCCAAGAAGTTTCAAGGCAGCTGTTCCATAAGCCATTGTACACCTCAGAAGAGAAGCTCTTTTCTTCAGCTCTGCGTTCCTCTCGCAAAACTCCTTCTCCAGAACTTAATGTTGCAGTACAAATCTGCATTCCAAAGAGTTTGTCGACAAGATTTTCACTGTCTGAGCTACAAACTGCCCATGTAAAATTTAAAACGTAGGCGGCAAAAACAGACCCTTGGCACAAGCAAATCACCTGAGGAAAGATGTTTACAGTGTCACAAATTCGGCGCAATGCATGTGCTTCATCGATCCAACTAAACATGAAATTTAGCCAACACTGATCTCTGAGGGAAAAGTCACATTGACCAAAAGGCCAAGAGCACCCACAATGCCGGTGACAAACCATACCTTATTGAGCCGTACTTTGGTCACAACTGACAATAATGCAAGGCGACAAGCATGCGGCATGCTCTACAAAGCTGCTTTAAGTAACTACCAGCAAAGCCAAGTAGGGCCTCATCAGTCTGGGACGTTGTGAACCCCAGAGAATCCCACAACGATTCTCCACCTAGAAAGCTTCTTGTTCCTAGTAATGCCAGGAGCTACTAGTAGCTTTCCTCCTAGTAGTAATGCCAGGAGCTACTAGTTACTAGTAGCTTCTTGCTCCTAGTAGCCATGCCCTTTGCTCCTAGTAGCTTCTTGATCCTAGTAGTAATGCCAGGAGCTACTAGTAGCTTCTGGCTGCTAGTAGCGATGCCCTTTGCTCCTAGTAGCTTCTTGTTCCTAGTAGTAATGCCAGGAGCTACTAGTAGCTTCTTGCTCCTAGTAGCGATGCCCTTTGCTCCTAGTAGCTTCTTGTTCCTATATAGTATTGCCAGGAGCTACTAGTAGATTCCTGCTCCTAGTAGCGATGCCCTTTGCTCCTAGTAGCTTCTTGTTCCTATATAGTAGTAATGCCAGGAGCTACTAGTAGCTTCTTGCTCCTAGTAGCGATGCTCTTTGCTCCTAGTAGTTTCTTCTTCCTAGTAGTAATGCCAGGAGCTACTAGTTACTAGTAGTTTCTTGCTCTTAGTAGCGATGCCCTTTGCTCCTAGTAGTTTCTTGTCCCTAGTAGTAATGCCAGGAACTACTAGTAGTTTCTTGCTCCTAGTAGCGATGCCCTTTGTTACTAGTAGCGTCCTTGCTACTGGACTTCGTAGGCAAATTCATAGACGCTCTGTGGAAAATGGATAGATAGAACCTTCTCCTTCCACCGCGAACAATCAATTACAAAACCATGTTTTATGGCATCATTGTGTATCTAGTTTTCTGAATTCGATGTGATTTGTTCCAAATAATCTTGATAAGGGCGCAAGTCATCAAGCAGCCGGACCCCGATGAATGAGGCAAGATCGGCTGGCCATTTGAGGGTCAAGCAGTCGTCTGTTACAAGTACTGTAGCTCAGCCGGGACGCAGCATCAGTTCCAATGCTGTTGATCATCAAGCGGCCGCAGGAAACACCTATTTGCATATCACAAGGATTGTAAGACTTTACAAATGTATACAATAGAATCATCCAACAGCGGCAACTTTGTCAGCACAACGGTCTCATTGTATGTCTCACACCTACCAAAGCCCGAGTAAGGCCGTTCAGCGTCATCATGTTGCCAACTGCAATTGGATCCTTGTACAACGTCTGGTCAAGCCACAAGAGAACTCACAACTGTGGTTTAGATGGATGAACTGCTGGCACAAGTGGCATATGTAGTTTTATTGTCTGGAAAAAGTTATCCCGGCAAGAGACCCCAAACAGTGTGTGTGAGGTCTGTAAGCAGAAAGTCCAGAGACCTAGACGCATTGGGTCCAGAGAGGTGATGGTGGTGGTGAAGTGAAGGTGGGTGTGAGTGAGTGTGGGTGAGAGGGAGCGTGAGTGTGAGTGAGTGGGAGAGTGAGTGTGAGTGCGAGTGTGAGTGAGAGTGAGCGTGGGTGAGAGTAAGTGTGCGTGAGAGTGAGAGTGTGAGGGAGTGCGAGTGTGAGTGGGAGAGTGAGAGTGTGAGGGAGGGAGTGTGAGCGAGAGTGGGAGACTGATTGAGTGCGAGTGCGAGTGTGAGTGAGAGTGTGGGCAAGCGTAAGTGTGCGTGAGAGTGAGTGTGAGGGAGTGCGAGTGCGAGTGGGAGAGTGAGAGTGTGAGGGAGTGTGAGTGTGAGTGAGAGTGGGAGACTGAGTGAGTGCGAGTGTGAGCGAGAGTGAGTGTCAGTGAGAGTGAGTGTGGGTGAGAGTGAGTGTGAGTGAGAGTGAGAGTGAGAGTGAGAGAGACTGAAGGTGGGTGGGTGAGAGTGAGGGAGAGTGAGTGCGAGTGAGAGTGGGAGAGTGAGTGAGTGTGAGTGTGAGTGAGTGTGAGAGTGAGAGTGAGAGTGAGAGAGTGAGTGAGTGAGAGTGTGGGTGAGTGAGTGAGTGTGACTGTGTGTGTGTGAGTGTGAGAGTGAGTGAGCGCGGGTGAGAGTGAGAGTGCGAGAGTGAGTGAGAGTGTGGGTGAGTGAGTGTACGTGTGAGTGTGAGTGAGAGTGACTTTGAGTGGGAGTGAGTGTGGATGAGAATGAGTGTGAGTGAGAGTGAGTGAGTGTGAGTGCGAGTGCAAGTGAGAGTGGGGGAGTGAGTGCGAGCGTGAGTGAGAGTGGGAGTGTGAGGGAGTGTGAGTGTGAGTGAAAGTGGGAGAGTGAGCGTGGGAGAGTGAGAGAGTGAGCATCTGACAGCACAAAGTACTGCGCCTGCCACGAAATCTGCACTTCAAGGTTCACCAAGTGCTGTGCCTGCCACGAACTCTGCACTTCGAGGCTCACCATGCGCTGTGCCTGCCACGAAATCTGCACCTCGAGGTTCACCAAGTGCTGCGCCTGCCACGAAATCTGCACTTCGAGGTTCACCAAGTGCTGCACCTGCCACGAAATCTGCGCATCGAGGGTCACAGAATGCTGTGCCAGCCACGAAATCTGCACTTCGAGGTTCACCAAGTGCTGCGCCTGCCACGAAATCTCTACCTCGAGGTGCACCAAGCGCTGCGCCTGCCACGACATCTGCCACGAAATCTGCACTTCGAGGTTCACCAAATGCTGTGCCTGCAACGAAATCTGTACTTCGAGGTTCACCAAGCGCTGCGCCTGCCAGGAAATTTGCAAACGAGCCACATGTCCAAAAGTCACGATTCACTGCACCTGTCACGAAATCTGAGCTCCTCGACGATCACCACCATGTCCAAAGTACTGCACCTGCCACGAAAACTGCATTTCGAAGTAAAACAATCGAGGGTCACAGAGTGCTGTGCCTGCCACGAATTCTGCGTGCTTCGAGGTTCACCAAGCGCTGCACCTGCCACGAAATCTGCACATCGAGGGTCACAGAGTGCTGTGCCTGCCACGAAATCAGCGAGGTTCACCAAATGCTGCACCTGCCACCAAATCAGGACGTCGAGGTTCACCAAGTGCTGCACCTGCCACGACACGAAAAGCCGACTTTGGAGCACCAAAGCACGAGGTTTCCTTTGCGCCTGCCACGAAAAGTGACCACCATGTGCGAAAATGCGCGCGGCGCCACAACGAGAGCGCAGTCGTTAGAAGCACCCGCCGCAGACACCCAGATTCAGCGAGCCTGCACAGTCGGAATGCACATTGATGATGTCGAGAGGCATGAATGTACTGTAAATAGCAGCGAATTGGCCGGACACGCCCGCGCGGAACAGCGATCTAAGCACACCTGCTTTTCTATTACCGTAAGAACCCCTAGTGTGACCACACTTTTTGGGGAAAAATCAATAACATACCACAGACATTCTTTCAAGGTGCTCATCCAGTTTCAGAAAAGAAGCATTGTCTGTGATGATGAGCATGTACGGAGTCAAGGCCTTGAACCACATGCCTTCTTTGAACATGTTCGAAATCATCTCTGAAAGCATCACCGCATATACATTACCTCGGCATTACTGTACATCGCAGTCCCGATGGGGTCAGATTGGCCATGCCTAAACCGCCAGGAACTAGGCAGCTGGTAGCGACATGTAGCTGGACAATGCGAGGAGAAATGACTTGCGAGATCTTGCAAGGATGATTTGGGGGCTGCAGGGTGATGAGCAAACCCTTGATGTCAAGGCACATCTGCTCTGGATTACAAGTTTCTAGGCGGGGCAAGGGAACGCTGTGGAAGATACAAGAGGTTTGGCGGTATCGTGCGACGCAAATGCCTTCAGAAAGAACATTTGCAAAAGTGGGTTATCATTGGTCCAAGCTTAAGCCCAAGCCGGAATTCCACCCTAACGTGGAGTTCTGCCCTATGGTGACCCCACAGAAATCAAATATTGTTCACAAAAGGTAAACGCCGAATTATTGATTCATTATACGACACTATATTATATAAGGCTATAAGGGATATAATTTACTGCAAGAAATTCTCAGGACTCAGTTATGGGACAGTCAAGGCACCATTGTCAGAGGCCACAACGGCATTGAAGCCGTCCGTCGTATATGAACTCATTCCTGTCAATCAAGTGCAATCTGTGCATGCAAGTCGAACAAAGTGCATCCCTGTCATACCAAGCCAATGTCAACAGCACGACCCGTCCTTTGTCTTTTCTACCCATGGCAAATACAGGCAGGAAAAAGGCCACACTCGAGTGCAGCAATACCCATGAGTCACAGCATGGAAGCGAAAAGAAGAAAAGGAGAGCAGCTGCGGGCGTTTCACGCCAAGGCCTTCGATGAATACATGGATGCATGCCATTGATGCTGGCCCTAGCAGTTCCTCTAGCTCTGTATTCTCAAATGATTTGCCATTACCCTAAAGATTCGCAGAAAATTTCTTGTCAATGAGGAGTCTACCCGTGCAAGACTCCTACCGATCTGCACAGCTGTGCAACCATCGATGCTGCGACCTGATGAGTATCAATGAGTGTAGTGGTGAGATCTTGCTTACTTCTGGCTAACTCTGGATAATCCGAAGAATCATACTCGGCAGGTACACAGAATTGTATAATATGTTTGCCATCATGGTCACGTCTACAAACGAAGCCCTCTATGCGGTAAAGGGCTGTAAATTCTGGTCTCTGAAATTCCAATCAAAGGCGAAGACATGTAGAGGCAACGGCTTCCATGTTTAGCTATGCCAGAGCCAACAGTGGTACTGCATTTTCACCGAAAGGACCAGGAGACCCGGGAGGTGGACATCAATTCGACTTAGAAAACCACCACCATGAGATGTATGTTCAATGGAGGTTTTGAGAAAACCAAGCATTTCCAAGCAATTGCGCCAATGAGGCGTTCAAGAGTCAAGTTCATCACTGGTCTGAAGCATACATCGAACTGCATTGAATTGGCCCATTTGCCTCCGTGAAGAACAAACGTCTCCTCAGGGACCAGGGGCTCCGCAAGACTTTGGCACAGCAGTATCTGTGTTATCCATGGTCCAACGGTCCATTGAGTTTTCTGTTGAAAAAAGTGCAATGCAACCAAGTGCTTTCGAACAAATTCTTGTTTATGTACTGACCAGCCCCTTCCCGGTCCCCCCGCCTACCAGCCAGCAACTCCTGGTTTGCCTCGATATGACCCACATTGTTTGGAGACCCACCGTACCTATGTCTTATCGTCAACACCTGAAAGCTCAACGACATTGAATTTTTCTGCTCCATGGTTCTGTTTCTCCTCTTCCATTTCCCAACAATAAACGACTCTATTGAAATCTGACTCTCAGAACTTGTCAGCTTAATTGTATATTATTGTAGATAATCCGCCGACCCCGGCCTATAGCCAAAGCCTAGGCGGGGAGGCGCCTGGGACACCGCAGGGTGAAGCAGTTGGCTAAGCCTTGCAGAACCCTTCCAAGCCCTTCCAAAGGCATGTGTGCAGGTGCATTGTGGTTGGCCTACTCCTGCATCGCAGCCTTGCCTGCGTCAGGCGGGAGCCTGGGGAGGGAGCCTCTGGAACGTGCAGCCCGTGCACTGCAGCC